TTTAATAGACTGTCTAGGTTTGTCATAGCTTTCTTTTCAAGGAGAAGCATCTTTTAATTTCACCATCTGCAGTAATTTTGGAGCCCAAGGAAATAAAGTCTACAACTGTTTTCATTGTTTCCTCATTGATTTGCCATGAAGCGATGGAACCAGATGCCGTGATCTTCATTTTTTGAATGTTGAGTTTTATGCCAGCTTTTTCACTCTCCTCTTTCACTTTCATTAAGAAGCTCTTTCGTTTCAACACCTGGAGGCATTTCTTATTCCCATTTATGTCCTTTCTCCACCATGAGGGTCCCCATTTATAGTTTTTAACAACAGGCTCCTTTGATACATTCTATACTTTTTTCCATCTTATGTATTTTTTACCAATCCATCCTTCAGTTCACTGATCGATCCTCTCTTCATCTATGTCCAATTTGATGTTAAGCCCAGAGACTGAGTTCTTAAATTCAGTCACTGTTATTGTAAAGTTCTAGAATCGGTTTTGATTCTCAGAATTTTTTTCTTCTGTCAAGTATATTCTTGAACAGGTTGTGTTTGCATCTGATACCTCTAGCATACCTCTGATATGCTGATATACATCTGATGCTTCTGGATCTGTTTCAGTTCTTTTTCTCTTGGTCCTTCTTGTTGTTACACCCCTTTTTGCTTTTTTGGTTGCATGTTGGACATTATGTTTGGAAAACCCTAGAGGTTCTGAGTGATGCTGTCTTCTCCAGAGTTTCCTCTGATGCAGACCTCCAGTGGGGACAGAGCTGTCTGTTCACTCAGGGTCTGAGTGACTTGAGGCTGGGGGTTCCTTGTAAGCTGAGTCTCAGCAGCCTTCACCCACCTTCCCCCCCAACCCCAGGGAGGAGCCCTCCAGTGTCTCCATTTGGAAGCCTGGGGTGCCTCCCAGGGCCCCTCCTTCTTGGCAGGTCCTGAAGCCCACCGTCTGTCTCCTGAGCACCATGAGGTGATTGATACTCAGCACTCAGCCAGCTTGGGCAGACTGTTGGGTATGTTTTCTGTGCCTCCCTTTTCTTGGGGAGCTTAGTCTCTAACATCTGCACTGACTTGTCAGGGCTGTGCTCGAATTTTTGTTTTCCCAGCCCAAGGAACTGTCCAGAGCTGTGTTAGCCAGTCCCCTCTGCTTGACTTTTTCCCTGCCTTTTCTTCGCAGAGTCAGCTTTGTTCAGATGCCCTGAGGGAAGGAGCGGCCCTCTCAGTCTCCAGCTCCCTCACTGGGCTTCCCTTCTGTTTGGAATGTTGGATTGTGGCTGCCTAAGGACATCTTTTTTTTTTTTTTTTAGATATTTTTTTTTCCATTTATTTTTATTAGTTGGAGGCTAATTACTTTACATCATTGCAGTGGTTTTAAGGACCTCTTTTAAACTGCATTTAGCTTTTCTAGCTCTTGGTAGGCTTACCTACAAGCAGCTTGTGTCTAACTGGAAGTGGGGCACCCTGGGTGTCTTCTCTCATCTGAAGCCACATGTAACAGTCACAGTAATTATGTTGATCATCTTTATTTGATCCCAGGGAAAACAAGAACCAGGAGTCCTTGCTTAGTACCCACGGTTGTGTTTCTGATCAGAATCCCCAGCTTGCCCCGGCTGTTTCAGTGCCACTTGAACTTGGAAAGAAGGTGGAGCAAGCAGCCCACATGGCCTGGAGACAGAGGAGCCGGTCTGCCCTCTTTCCCTGCCCCTGCCAGCCCAGGGCAGGCCTTGTGATGACGGGCTGCTGGCAGTGGAGGAGAAGGCTGAGGAGGGAGGGGTTGTGTGACCTGTATTCTGTGACATGGTCACGTGCGGGTTTTCTTTTTCACTTTGAAAAAATTCCTGTTTTTGAAAATGAAGATTTTATTCTTAAAGTTGAGCACAGTGAATTTACAGTCTTTTTGAAAGCAACAGTTGAGGTTTTAAAAAGACATCTCAGAGAACTCCAGTAGATAAAGCCAAAAAGAAAAAGAAAAAAGAGAACGTGATCAGGGTGAACTGCAGGTGGGACCCCAAACTGTACTGTCCCAGAGTCTGTCATTGCTGAGACAGGTGGATACAGGACCCCAAGCACCCTGGGGACCAAGGTCATCAAGTGACCGCAGAGGTCCGGGCTGAGCCAGGAGCAGTGTGGGCTGTGTCCTGGCGAGTGGAGCACCGCGAGGCTGGGAGCGGGGCCAGGAGAGGGGGTGAGAGACTCGGAGGCAGAGGGAGGGGCAGCACCTGGCGGGGTCTAGGAGATGCTGGCTGTCACAGTTCAAGGCAGGGCCATCCCGAACCTCCACCGCGCAGCCCCCACAGGGCAGAATCGTCTGGCAGCCCAGGGTTGAAGTTAAGAGGGCGAGTTTACAACAGGTTAAATGAACCCCTGTACCCACTGTGGGTTCATTTTAAGTGTCTGGAGCGAGGTTGGTCAAGCCCTTGTTGAGCTCAAGTGAGGGAGTCAGTCAGGGAGGACTGAGCTCAGGGTGAGAGTGAGGGGCAGCTAGCACGGTGAGTCCTCCTCAGCCGGGTGCATTCTGGAGATGCCCTTGAGTTCAGGGATGCCCTTTCAGTAGCCTCACTGGAAGCTTGTTTGGGGGGTGGAGGGGGCAGAAGCCCCCTTAGAAGACATGCTCATTCCTAGCGGAGGTGTTTTCTGAAGCAGTTTATACTGTTTGGTTCGACTGTGACCCAGTACCTTGCAGGGTCATGTTTGACAGTGGGCCTGAGCTTTGGGCACAGCCTTCCTTCTCACGCACACCACACTCATCTGCCGTCTTTTTGGCAGCCCCTCCCCCATCTGCACCCTTGATGATGGGCCTGAGCCCAGCCCCCTTGTTACCATGGAGTCCTTTGTGATGGAGTGAGTTCCAGGTTCTGGGCTCCTAGGAGATGTGCTGGAGGCAGAGCCTTCATGCCATTTCTCCTTGAGACAGCGGTGCTGGTGCTCATAATGTGAGAGCAGTGGTCATAGTGTAAGAGTGGTGTGTGTGAGAGCGGTGTGTGAGAGCAGTGTGTGAGAGTGGTGTGTGTGAGAGTGGTGGTCGTAGTGTGAATAGCGGTGATCATAGTGTGAGATCAGTGGTGATAGCTCGGGTGTGAGGTATCTTACTGTGAAACAGCAGTTGCCCCCGAGGGCTGCCCCCATCCGTGAGGATGGGTCACAGAAAGGCCCACCTGTGGGTGCTTTTCCAATGTTGCATCCACAAGACAAAGGCCAAGATGAGAAAGAACTTGGCCTCGGCCCAAGTCCTGGAAGCAGAGTGGCCAGAGGTGAGAGCAGCCAGGGCCTGGGCCCGTCGGATTGGCCCTCACCCGGTGAAGCGTTGGGGTTGTATTTCATTTTGTTGGCATGGTTGTGGGCCCTGCCAGCCAGGGTGCTTTGGCCTTAGTGGGCAGGATCGACCCCAGCAGGGTCACCTTGTAAGAGGTTGTGCAGGTGCTTCGTGGAGGATGGGCGGGGGGCCCACAAGAAGGGAAACACTGGCTGGGGGAGTCTCTGGGGCACATGGGCTGAGCTATAGACTCAGTCCTTGAAGCAGAAAGGCTAGGCCCCTTAACGTCTCTCATCTTACAAACCACAGACCAGTGTGCCCAGTGTGTTAATGAGGAGTACCTACTGATTATGTGTATGCATACACATGTGTATACATACACCCTCAGAGCTTCACATGTCTACTACATGCCTCTTACAAGTGTTGGGCACTGTTCTGGGTGCTGAATACTCAGTATGTAGTAGGGGATATGTAGCCCAGGATTTTTGTATTTGTGCCAAGGAAACCAGAAGAATGAAAGACTGTGTGCAGTTCAGTTTGAGCAAGTTCACCACATGGGCGGCCCTGCGTGCACGCAAATTGTGGTAAAATACATATAACATGAATTTAGCATTTTAACCAGTTTATTGAATGTCTGGGTGACTTCAGTGCAGTCAGGCTAACAGATGGCCTTGGGGTGCCATCAGCCTTTTTCCCAGAGGAACACTCCAAAGCCTGGTGGCCGTGTAAACCTTACCTTTCTTCTTCACTCTCCCCAGTGGCTCTAGGTCACTTGTCTGTGTGTCGTTTAAGAATCTCTTTATCCACTTTGTTGTTAGGTTTATGTTTAGGAAAGTTTCTCAGACGTCCCTGGGTCTTGAGAAGGCAGGCTTGAATTCCGGGTTCTCCCCTGCTGTGTGCCTGCCAGGTCGAGGTGGAGGCTGAAGGCCGGTCTGAGTTATGGTGGTGTGTGGTCTTGGAGTCAGCAGATGCCCTATTCTCTAGAGGGGCAAGGAGATCCTTTGTGTGGAGCCTGAAGAGACTTGACATGGTCAGTCTTCATCGTCTTGCTCTGCTTTTGTATTTGCATTTAGTTACTTACTCATTTAACTGTTTTCTAGGAGTTTACAGAACTTACTAAAGAATGAAATGTATGTAGGGAGCAGATTCTTGCGAGAGAAGAAGAAATCACTGAGCTGAAAGTGGAAAGGACCAACACCAGTGTCAGTAGGGGTGTTCTCACATGTTGACATGTGCCCCGCGGGGGTCACTGCTGGGCTCCGTGTTGCTGTCTTTAAACTCTGTCTGGTTTTCGTCATTTTTCACATCTTCCCACTGAGCAGACCGAGGTGGATCTGTTCAGGGTTCTCATACCTTGTTTCAAGTTTATGATGAGAACTAATGTAATTTTAGTGCATTTGAGGGGGGAGTTCTCTTAACTTACATTTTTGTCCATGCTACATTTTGGGATCTTAGTTCCCCGACCAGGGATTAAAACCTATGTCCCCTGCAGAAGTGTGGAGTCTTAACTACTGGGCCACTGGGGACGTCCACTCTAACTTAGACTGAACTGGCAGGATGCTGACGTGCCTTAGCATGGCTTCAGCTTTAGGGTGAGGCTGAGAGGAGTTATCAGCCCTGACTTCAAGTATGAGGTTGAAGGTGGTCCTTTGGCCCCACCCTGCAGCTGCTGCTGGAGCACCTGGAGTGCCTGGTTTCATGATACATGCAGTCCCTCTAGATGACAGTGGGCAAGCAGTAGGCGCAGTCCCCAGCCGGCATGACCAGCGAGGTGGAGGTGCTCAGGGTGCTGAAAACTCTGTTCGAGCAGCGCAAGGCCCTGGATGAGAAGGTACCAGCCACCTGGCCTTCCTGGATTTGTACACTTGCTGCCTTGTTAGGTGGATGATGCACGTATTTATGTACCTAGTTGACTTTTGAGCTTCTTGAGTTTTTGTAAATAAATTTTTTCTGTAAGAAGTCAGAGTTTTATATGGTTAAAAAGCATTGCCTTAGTACATGCTCAGTCTTGTCTGAATTGTTGTGACCCTGTGGACTGTAGCCCACCACGCTCCTCTCTTCATGGGACTTCCCAGGCAAGAGTACTGGAGTGGGTGGCCATCTTCTACTCCAGGGGATCTTCCTGACCTAGGGATCGAACCTGCCATCTTGCATTGGCAGACGGATTCTTTACCACTGAGCCACCTGGGAAGCCCCCAGTTAAAAAGTATTAGTTGGCCTAAATGTCTCAAGATTTATTATATTCTGTATATCAATTTGCAGTTAAAAACTGGGTAATAGAATTAATTTAGGGTAACATTTTGTTCTCTCAAACTTAAAATTTAAAGCTGTTAACAAGCAGATTTTCTTCACGCTAAGATCAATGAGACATTAAAGGTATTCTGTGACAGTATCCATGTACTAGGGTGAGTATAGAATAAGAAATGCACTAACATATATACACACATCAACACACAGTGACTCGATCCCTTTTATTTCAGTTGAGAGAGTGATTACAAGCAACACTTGAAAGGTGTAGTTTGTTAGAGGAAGAATTTGGTGCTACACATAAAGAGGTAAGTTTGATCAGTCATTGTGTAATTTCAGTTAAGTGTTTGTCATTTATATCCTTTCATTTTAAAAATAGCATGAAGGCTGTAGTGGTGGACATCAGATGCAATCTATCTTTCTGATTGAGGACCAGCCCACCGGGGTTACTTTAATGACTAGTAAACTAAACTTGTGGTTCAGAGATGCAGATCTCTTAAGTACCCCTTTGTCCAGTAGAAGATAAATTCTGACTCTAATCATCTGGTTCTATTCAGGATGGATAGCATCACCATATATTTTCTTTTTATGTTGTGTTTTCAGTTTAGAGTTGAATTTTTCCAAGTGGAGTTTTACTGTCTTTACTTATTTCTTTACTCTGATTCAATTTTTTTTGGTTTTAGCTGATGATTCTTAAAGAGCAGAATAACCAGGAAAAGATACTAACAGACAGGATGCTTGATGGAAATCGCAAGCAAGAAAACATGCCAAGTGTTAATGGAAAGGCAAGTCCTTGGTCTCACTCTCTGTCTGGTTCTCATCTTACCATCCAGTCTGTGCGGGGCTGTTGGGACCTCTCACCAATGCACCATGTAGGTCTGAGTGGCTGTGAGGGTCCTGTGAGTTCCCAGAATGCAGAAGGTAGTTTTGACCTCACCGATTTCCTGGGAGTGCTGTGTTCCCTCCCTCCCAAAACAAGGCTGTCTAAGGCTTCCTTTCCCCCTTAGAGATTGTCCAACAGCTCTCTAAGCCACAAGGAAGACGTGGCTAAGGTGACTGAGCTCCAGGAAGTCATATACAAGCAGTCGTGGGAGCAGAGCCAAATGAAGGAGCATCTGGCAGCCCTCTCTACCCATGTGACAGAGCTGGAGGAGGACCTGGACACGGCCAGGAAGGACCTCCTAAAGTCTGACAAAGTGAACAGGACACTGCAGCGGGATGTCTGCTAAGTGAGTGACAGTGGCCTTGTCTGCTGTCCTGAGGTGAAATGTGGGTCCCTTGTTCTCCAGGTGATCTCAGCCTCGGGATGGCTACGTGAGCAAGAGCAGAGCTCTGGTGAGGCCACAACCGGCTGCCTCCCAGCCTCTGCATCAAGGTCTCAGAGGTAGAAGAGGCCTGGTCCAGGTGGTCTGTTGGCAGTGGACCAACATGAGAGCAGCCCTAGCGCTGTGCTACACCCTGGGTGTGGACTCCTCATTGCTACAAGTTCTAGGGTGCCCATGTGTTCCTTTTTTAAAAATTCGTTCATCCATTCATTCATTTATTGGCATATAGTTATTTTACACTGCCGTGTCAATTCCCGCTGTATAGCAAAGTGAATCAGTCATATATATACATACACATATATATACATATATACATGCAATTTCCTCAAAATTAAAGTAAGAATATACATGTGTGTATACACACACACACACACACACACACACATACACATATATCCCTCATTTTTAGATTCCCTATGCATTAACTCCACCACAGAGCACTGAGTAGACTTCCCTGTGCTGTACCCTAGGTCCTTACTCGTTGCTGACTTAATGCGTAGGATCAGTAGTGTACATATGTCAACCCTGTCTCCCAGTTCATCTCCCCACCTGCCTGTCGAATGTGTTCATGATGATGCTGAAATTTCCTCTGATTCACTCAGGCGAGTCTGGTGACATCTGTGGAGTCCGTTCTCTCGAAGAGATGGGAGCGTGCTGCGTGGGCTCTGCTGAGGCAGCTTGCCTGACCATCTTCTCTAGATTTCTGAGGTTCCACTACTTGAAGGGATGTGTGACAGTGATACCGGCGGTCAGACAAGTCAAGTGGCATGTGCTCACCCTCAGATCCTCAGTAGAATCATGATGTTTCTGGCGATCGTGTCTGCGGGTGTCATGATTCATGAGAACCTACCTGAGGGTCACTGTGAAAACAGAAGCTTGTCGGCTCAGGCCTCCTCCTGGGAGCCTCACCTCTCCTCTGTACACAGACAGAAGAGTGCTGGGGCTCAGACCTCCTCCTGAGAGCCTCACCTGTCCTTTATATGCAGACAGACATCTCCCGCCCTGCCCCACCCCTCCCCTGTGAGAGCGTCTCAGAGAGAACCCCTCCAACATGTGTTACAGCAGGTGTACTTGTTTATTAGCTTGGTGTGAGTAATGCTGTCGAGAACTGAAAACAGAAATATTTGCACCTGTTTGTAAAACCTATTCACACTATTGTTTGGCAACAGGAGGAGATTAGGTGGCAGAGTTTAATACGTAGAGAATTCTGGAAAAGTGTTTTAAGGACCTTTCACCTTTAATGTTAGGACTTTGCCCACAATGGTTACTAGTGACCAGGGAGGGACCTAAAATGAAGTTTGAGCTGGAGGACAGGAGTTGTACCAGCAGCAAGTTCTGGTCCTGGTTTGAGCGTTTCATACATGTGGTGTAACTCTGCTTTAGAAGAACTAGGCTTGAGAATGTTGCTTCTGATTGTGTTACACTCTGACTTCTGTTTCCACTCATTAATATTCTTACTTTAATTTTGAGGAAATTGCATGAGATTTTTCCAACTTTCACCTGAGGAAACACTCCTCAGAGCTCCCTGTTGGATCTGTTGAAGGTCCCTCCCTGTTCTGGGTCCAACCCGCCTGTATGGTGTAGCAGACAGAGGTCCTGACTTCATGCCAGATACCTTACCTCCTGGAATTCTTACACTAACAGGGTAGTTTAGTATTTTTTTTGTTTGTTATTTGGGTTTATTATGTAGAAAAGAAGTTTGGCAAACTGAGTGGCCAGACAGAACGTTAAGACAGATGGGTGCCAATTGTGGCAAATGTGATTTTTGAGGTAGGCCCGTTTTTGCTCATGTCCGAGAAAACTGCCATGTCTAGGACTTTAATTTTGAGGACGCTAACTTTGTTTGATTTGAAACTTAAGATTCCGTCCAGCTTTTTTACTCTTAAATGTATCGGAGTGTTCCATGATAACAACTTACCTTTTCTCCTCTGCAATGCCCGGTGTAGGCCATGGCCCAGAAGGAGGACATGGAAAAGAATATTAGTACCCTTGAGAAATGATACCTCGCCACATAGCGTGAAGACACCTCTGTGCACGACCTCAATGATAAACTTGAAAATGAAATCACAAGTAAGGATTCTATGCATCGACAGGTAATGGTTTTACTGAACTGTGTCTGACTTTTGCAGTAGTGAATTACTGAGGGAGGAAGGTAAAAACCTTTTCATGTGACTCCCACTTTAGAAATCAAGTCCCAGTGTAAAGTACTTATCACACTAAAATACTGCATTCAAAAGTGTGGATGTACATCATGGTCAATCAGCTATACTGGAAGGAAATACATTTAAAAAAAAAAAATTGGGAGTGACTGCAACTTACAGGTTTGAATTATTTGGGGCTTGGTTTAACCATTTTTTGGAATTACACTCCTGACTCTCTTGTTTTACTTGAATGTGAATCTGTTGGCTTGTTAGCGTTTTTACTGAAAGAGCAGAGAGAGCAGCAGGGAACTTCACGGCAGCTGGCTGCTTGTTGGGTACTGGGGTCACTGTGACAAAAGGCAGGATTAGAGCTCCGGTCTAATTAGAGTTTGTACTTCCTGTGGTTTGGTGAGCCTTACTTGCTCCTGTTCCTGACTGGTCTCAGATAATCAGGACTTAACCAGGAAAACCAAGTCTGGCTTCTCCAAAACAAAGTGAATCAGTCTGGTGTGTGTCAAAGTGTATCATTGGCCCCACCACAAAAATAAAATACTAGAAAGCCATTGAAATGTATGATGTGGAATGCTAATTAAGAGCATTACGATAGACAAAATAATGGCTGTAAAAGGCAGATCAGAAAACACTAGGTACCATATGCCATTGTTTTTTGAGGTTTTCAAAGCATATCATATTGTTTGTGTATGTACATAGAGTAATACACACACAGAAAAAATAAGAAAGCTCCTTAGAAAGAAATGCTAACCTCTCATGAACCTGAGCTTGTAGATAATTTAATTTTTTTCTTTTTTATAAAAGAATCTTTCTAAATGTTCTACATTGAAAGTTTTTCACAGTAAGAAGTTGTGTTAAAAGAATAATCGTGCATTTACAAATATTAGTTGACTGGCATTTCAACAGGCACACTCTCATCAGGTCTGTATTTCAGAGGAGATGAAGGCATATTTTGGCTTACACACCCATGGCCATCTGCGGTCGTTAGGGTTCTCGTCAAATGATGATTCTGGTGATGTTCTAAGAAGGGTCCATACAGAACCCTTCTTCCATTAACTTGTCAATAAAAATGAATAAGATTCTACAGAAAACTGATCTTCTTTAATATATAAGGACTTTTTCTGAGTAATCCTTTCTAGGTTCACCTGAAAGCTGAGACAAAGCATGAGCCTTTCAGGTGGACAGTAAGATAGATCAGAAAGATAATATGAGCCACATACACAACCTAAAATTTCCTAAAAACCAATGGGCTAGTGGACGTCCTTTTTTCACCACAAGTCTTGAAATCTTCTGTGTGATTTCCACATCGAGCTTTGCACCAGCCTGTCTCATGTGTTCAGGGCAGCACGAGGTGAGTGACTGCCATGGCCAACAGCACAGAGCTGCCAGGCTGAGTTGAGTGACTTGGAAATTTGGCCCGTTTGACTTGTTTTACCCCATGAGGAAGTGAAGTGGGGTGTAGAGGAATGAATGTGAGGAATGGCCAGGAATGCAGGTGAGCTCTATGGAGACAGTTTAAAGCAATGAGATGAGCGAGGGCAATAGAGTGAATCCTGCCCCCCCTCCTGAACCCCCGCCCCAAGCTCAGCTTCTCTCTACAGACCTCATCGTTGTTAATGGCTTGCATGTTTCCTCCAGAAGCTTTTCTACACCTGAGATGGAACTTCTTATTCATTATGGTTTATAAGGGTTAATATTGTTCTGAGTGTTTATATTTACTATGGGACTCTTAGAGAACATTTTCTCAGAATTGAAATGCTCAGAGTTGATAACTATCAATGTAACCTGTTATGCACATTTTGGTGCAAGTCATTTTACATCTGGAAAGCAAGGAGTGCAGGCTGTGTCATTTGCTCTTTTGTAGGACCAGCTGATTAAAAACCTGGAAACCCCTGGAGCCGAACTGGACCAGACGAGGCTGCGAGGGGCTCCCCTCCACCACGGGTAGGGTGCTCCCCCAGGCAGCTCCCCTCAGCGCTGTCGAGTCTGACAAGGGCCTGTCTGGTGTGTGGACAGTATGACTGGGTGTTGCTCAGGGTCACACCTCAAGGAGCCTGTAGCTTAGTGGCCAGCGAGAGGGAAGAGACAAGCATCGTTCCTTAGGGTCCAGCTTCGTACCAGGGAGAGTGGTGGTCAGAGTATTGTGAAAACTCAAAACCACAGGTGGAGGTTTGGGGAAGGGGGGGGGTGGACCAGTTGATATTTGGGTGTATTCATTTGAGGGACCTGACAGACTGTGACAGTGATGTTTCTGAAGAGTTGCCAAAGGTTAATGACCTGTAGTCTTTTTTATGTGAATGGAGACTGAGACATAACTTGCTGTTGGCTGCGGTGGAAGGAATCACCTGGCTTGTGAATGAAGCTAGCAGATTACTGAGCATCCTGATTTTTTCTTACTCATTGTAGCAGCAGTAATTCTTATTAAGTATTTAAATATTTCTTTGGCTTCTTCATGGAAAATGGTCACAAGTGAGAGAGAAACTTTAGCAAAGGTTATTACAGTGCTTTACTGGTGACATTCCATTCATGTGTAGGAAATCGACAGCTGCTTGAATCCTGACATAGCAGACCGTTTGGAGCCCATATGCATATTTCTGCATTTGTGTGCTTAGGGGATCCTGGCGGCCCAGGGCCCCTGCCCAGCCTTCTTCTAGAGTAAGGGGATATCATTAGAGATGAAGGCAGAGCCAGAAACTGGCCCTGTGTCTGAAACCATGGTGGGTGGAGTTCAAGGAGAGCACATGCCCTGCA